TTTAGCAGCTTAAAATGATCTGATCGCAAGCAGAGAAGCAAAAGTGGGTTAAAGGGTTAGAATAGAAATTGTGCTTCCGTAATTTTGCGTTAATTGCGTTAAATAATTTTAACGCGTTAAGGATTGTAAAATTAATCGAATGCGTTAAGGCGTTAACGTTGACAGCCCTAATTATAATATTTAATACGTTCATATTTAATACATAATACATTTTTGTCTTAAGTTTGTGTCAAGTTAATACTTTTGACATTCCTGTACACTGTCCAACTGCCCACAAATCCTAATGGACAAGAGAAGAAGGCCTACAAGGTCAAAGTTCATTGTTCATTCACTGTGCTCAACATGACCCATACAGGGTTTAAAACGGATGCCAGCATGGTGTAAGATAGCTCTCGCTGTTCCTCCATCACAACTTTCTCAAAGGAACAGAGAAGGCACTCGAAGAGATCAGCATGCTCCCAGCAAACAACCAACTAGCTGGCTGCAGCATACTGTGCCACATTGTTGTTTTAAACAATGGTACATCCTTCTTTCAACCCAAACTATTTAATGTGTATTCCTCTTCCAAACATTTAAATGCTTTGTGTGTCTTTGAGTACTAATGAGTAATGGATTTGAGTACTACATCAGAGCAGTTTTTTTTGTGAAATACTATTATATTATATTATATTTTTTTAAAAAACTTTTTTTCCATTTTTAATTACATAATTCTCTATGTGCTAGCTAGACAACTGGCCTTAATCTTTGAATTTATACGCTGTTAAATGTATTGAAAAGAGCATTTGAAATATTCATGAACAGTTAAGCACCTTTCTGCTAATACGGATTTACAGAGAGCCCAACCATGCAACCTTGTTAAGAAAATTAAAAATAATGATTCAAATAGCAGATTAAAAAAGTTATTCTAGGGGAAAAAATGGTCAGCACTGCCATTTGCAGTTTTGTGTAAAATGCAAAAAAAAAAAAAAAGGCCAATTAAAAAAATTATCCAGATTTTTTTAGCTGTGTAGTGAGTATAATAAGCAAATTCCAAACTATATATTGTGGGTATTTGTTTCTGAACCTTTAGTGTGCTTAAGTGGAGTCCACATTTGCATCAGC